ATCCTTTCAAATAAAAAGACTTAGTTTTTATGACTTAAATAAAATTCTAGCATACTTATTTAATATAAAACACCACTTTTAGACTAGGAAATAATATTTATATCATTAAAACCTATTTCCCTTTTATGGGTAATCAAACCCTAACTCAATAATTAAAAAGTAGTGTGTATAATTAAATTACATTTGTACATTGAGGGCTTTAAACTCATTAAAACATGTTTAAATCATGAATTAATCAATAACAACAACCTAACATCAAACCCTAACCAATTACATAAAATCCCCAATTTCTAGGATTCATAATTTAGGATTTTTTTATTAAATAAAAATCTGAAATTTATGAGAATAATTTAACATTTTAATCCCAAATCAATACCAAAACATAATTAAAATCATGCTTTGAAAACAATAAATCAATACAATTAATTTAAATGAGGAAGAGAAAGAGTTTTTTTTATAACTACCAAAATCGAAAAGAAGAAGGGGAGAGAAGGGAGCACGGTGGCCAGCAGTTGTCGCCGGTGCTTCTGCTGATCGCCGGAAGTAGGTGGTGGCGCTGGTGGTCACCAGTTAGAGAGAAAAGAGGAGAGAGAGATGCGTGGGAAAGAGAGAGAAAAAGGAGAGGAAAAATAAAGAGAGAACTTTTGAAGTTTTTGTGAAATCTGACAATAATGATTCTTGAGTGGAAAAATTTTGAGGTTTTAAAGTATTTATACTCCTCTTTTAAAACAAAAACTAATAATTACAAAACTGCCATTATTAATCGGGATTTTCACCATATGCCCCTAATTTTTTTGTTTATTCACCATATACCCCTGAACTTTTTTAAATTCATCATATACCCCCGAGTTTTTATTAAAATACATCATATACCCTTGATGACTAATGATTGTTAATATTGTTAATCATTAGAGTTAATTATTAAAGGAAACCACTCTAAATACATTCCCCTACCCCTTGAAACCACCCACATTCTTTTTTCCCACCCCCAAAACCATCTTAAATTTCCTTTTCTCATCCTAAAAATCAATCATACGGATATGGTTATCGAGATTTTGAGAGATTTGGAGTGGTTTCGGAGGCTGGAAAAAGGAGAGGGGTGATTTTGGGATGAGAGGGAGAGATCTAAGGTAGTTTCAAGGTTTAATTAACCAAATTCCACTCATCTTATTTTCATTAGGGGTATATAGTGAATTTTTGTAACAACTTAGGGGTATATGGTGAATTTGAAAATTTTCATAGGTATATGGTAAATAAACAAAAAACTCAGGGGTATGTGGTGTAAAAACTGTTATTAAATCCTACTTCCCCTTAACTTTTCCTTTAGGGGCCAACTTATTGGGCTCTAAAGTTTCCTTAATTTCCCAATAGGTTGGTCAAATCATTTAAACAAGATTGACCCAATTCAAAATATTTCGATTGCCTCAATTCATGACTCGTTTAATTTTATACACACTTACATATTATTTTAAATAATTAATTTCTTTTGATATTAAGGGATAGCTCAAGTGGTTAGAGCTTCCCTCTCGATTCCAGGAGGTCTTAGGATCGATTCTCACCCCGCCCTTGTGGCTCTCTAAACACCAAAAAAAATTCTTTTAAAATGAAACGAATCATTTTAATAAATAAAATAAATAATTATATATAAAAAAAAATATTACAAAATACGGAGTATTACAAATTCTTAGCGACCCAAGTATCAATTGTAGTGGCTACCCTTTCAACAAGGGGCCTACATTGAGAAATTGTAAGCTTCTTAGAGGAGAGGGGAACCCCAAGGTACCTAAAGGGTAGAGAGCCACTAGTCATTCCTAGCACCTGCTATAAAATTGATTGGTCATGTTCAGATATGCCACCAAATTAAAGTACGCATTAATTTTGTCAACTTTAGCAAACAACCTTACAGATAGCAAAAAGGAAAAGGGACATAGGGTCACCTAGCCTTAACCCTTTCTTAGCCTGAAAGGAACAGTGGTGTAGCCATTGATCAGGACTGAATATGAAACTAAAGTTATACATCCCATAATCCAACTAATAACCTTGTTGGGGAACCCCAATTCACCAAGAACAACCTCTAGAAACTTCCATTTAACAAAGTCCTAGGCCTTCTTGAGATCAATTTTTAACAAGCATATAGGAGTGATAAATCTATGAGAACATCCTTTGATCAACTCTGTTGTAAGCAATATATTATCACCTATATGTTTGCTTGGGATAAACCCATCCTGAGATCATTCACCACAAAACCTATAACTTTTACCAATCTAGCTGTAATGACCTTAGAATTAAGCTTATAAACTAGAGTGTAACATGCTATAGGTCTATATTATTTCACATAGGAAGGGTTTTAAACCTTTGGAACCAAGGTAATGGTAGTACTGTTCCATTCCTAGCCAAAACACCATGATCAAAGAATTCCAGAATAGCCTTGTACACATCAAATTTTACATGGCTCCAGGCATGCTTATAAAAAACAACATTAAAGAAAGAGCTTGATCAATCTCATTGTGAGTAACAGGAACAGAAAACAAAGTAACATCTTCAAAGTTATGTTGCTTCCCATGAAGGACTTATGTCTTCATCAAGTGCAATTACTAGATATATCAAGGATTATTATTATGGAGATAATTAGTTCATTCTTTTGGATCGTCATTGTTTGTTGCTAGATATGATAAATAATCTTTGGGCTAGTCAAATAGTTCAAAGCCCAATAGAATAGATCCTATTTAGACCTAGCAATCCTAACCTAAACCTGATGGCCTGACCTGAATGACCCAAAATTGACCTAAAAATATCGACTCGGAATTGAGCTGACTTGACCCATACCGACCCGAAAATTTTGTTGACCTGATCCTAACCCGACACCCAACTTAACACAACCTGAAGTTGACCCGAACCGAAATTGACCTGAAGTATTTGACTCGAATAGACCCGAAACCCAAAATTGACCCAAACAGACCCGATACCCGAAATGTACCGAACTAAAATTACCTTATAATTGAACTAAAAATGTCTTGTGCCAAAAATAACTCAAAATGTTCATCTTCAACCCTAGCCAAGATTGACAGTCTTTATTATAACAAAATATATACTCCGTATAAAATTATTGATTTGAGCTTGATCCAAAAATGAAACAACCCGAACATGACCCGACCAGATTTTGACCTGACCCAAGTATGACCCGAACATACTTGAGCCCACCCAAACATACCCGACCCAAAATTGAATCGACCCGAACTTGACCTGATACCTGAACCGAGTCATGCCCGAAACCTGAATAGACCCAACCCGACCCATACCCGACCTGAAAGTGACTTGACCTAGACCCGACCCGAATGACCCATTTGTTAGGTCTAATCCTATGAGGTCATCACACACAAGGGTTATGGATTGCACAAAGTATGAATCCCATTAATGGGCCTCATGAGGTAATGACAAGCCACATAAGTAGTAAGGCTAGAGTAGTTTGGATTGGGTTAGGGGTTTATGCTTCACATGGACTCTAATTATATATGTGATATATAAATAGAGGTCTTGCCTAGGTTATGGATACAAATCATAACTAACCTAAGCAGTAGATTGTGAAGCAAGCAACTAACTCCCAACCCCTCTCTATCTCACACGCCTCTCCCCTCCTCATTGTTCATATTCGTACAGTACGGACGCTGACGCAACGTGGTTGCTCGGAGGTGGTGGTGGTTCGTGGTTTGTTCGTTCCTCTCCTCTCTGTAGAAGGTTGGTTGAAAGGTTCAATCACAACTAATTAGCATTAATGGAGGTTCGGTCCTTGCTTGTGGACCAAGTAGAGGAATCACATTTGGGGTTATTATTCTCCTAATTGTTCGTGGTTGATCGCTCGTGGAAATCACGCATTAAAGGTATGAATTATGTGGTTCTTTATGTGTTATGCATGCTTGTAGATCCTGCTTAGGTGCTTATGAATATGATTCATGCAATTCCTCTTATAGTACCTAAAACCCTATATCCCAGCCCTCATATATAGTAGTAATATCAACAGCAGGTAAACTACTAGTAGCAGAGCCAAGCAAGTTCTGATAAAAACCAAGAATTTCAGCTTTTACCAGATCACGCTCCTTAAGTAACACATCATCATCAATATATATAGAATCAATTCTCTTCCTCTTCTGTCTTTGCTTTAGAACAGAAAATAAGTAGTGAGAGTTAGAATCACCTAACTTAATCCAATCAACTCTTGACTTCTGTTTCAAAATACTCTCATGAGTATCATCTAATATTTCACCTTCTCAATATCTGCAGCTTCTTGATTATGAATAGAACTATTAGTGTAATCATCAGCAAGTTTAGCCTGAGTTTAATGCAAAGAGGGTCTAGCAGCTTCCATCCTATCAGTTATATTAAAAAAATGCTTAGTATTAAGACTTTTAAGACCGATCTTAATAGACTTCAACTTTTTCATACCTGCAGCATAGAGTTACTAGAAACAGGAATGTCCCAATGAGAGCAAATAGTATCTTGGAACTCATCACGAAAAGCTAAGCAATTAAGAAAATGAAAGGGTATACCCTTCTCAGGAGCATAATGAGAAATATCCACAAGGATAGGACAATGATCAGAAAGAGAAGGAGGAAGATATAGAGCCTCAGTTTGACCATAAGCCAGTAGCCAAGCCTCATTAATCATCCCTCTATCTAGTTTGGTAGCAATCCTATCCATAACACACTAGTAGAAAAATGTAAAAGAGCACCGGTTCAAAACCCCCCTATTGCACCGGTTTTGAACCGGTGTTCATTTGAGGGATGCCCATAAGTGAAAGTTTTTGCCACCGGTTCTGAACCGGTGGCAATAACACAGTTATTAGCACCGGTTCGGTTCAGAATCAGTGGCAATAACACAATTATTAGCACCAGTTCAGTTCAGAACAGGTGCCCTAAATGCCCTAAAAAAATAAAAAATAAAATTTTTTTTGCATTTTTTTTACTTAAATTGATAGATAAACACTTACATATATATAAACTTATTATTTTCATTAATATAAAGCTGTAACATGAGTACATGACAATTTTAATTCAAAAAAAAATTTACAGAAAATAGTTTTATATTATCAATAGACAGACTGTAATAATATTACAACAGTAGCGTAGAGCAGATTAGCTACAGCGAGAGTAGAACAGTAGTGGCGTAGAGCATAGCAGCAGCATCAGGAGCATAGAAGCAGTAGCGTAGACCAGAACAGCAGCAGGAGCATAGAAGCATGCAACAACAGCCCCCTTGCGAGGCAGTGGCTGCAGCAGCAGCAGCCTTGCATAAGCCTTGCGAGGCAGCGGAGGCAGCAGCAGCCTTGCATAATGTTAAAGCCTTGCGAGGCAGCAGTTGCAGCAGCAGGTTTAAACCTCTAGGCCTTGGGATTTAAAGGTCACATGAACAACAGGTTTACATATCACCATAAGCTATTTTACAAATCCAAAGCAAACTTCAAAAAGAAAAAAAAAAGTAAAAAAAACAAACAAACAAACTAGCAAATGATTGTAGACAACATACACCATGAGCTCTTAGCTGCGTATAAGCAGCAGGCTTTGCAACAGCAGCAACTGGAAGAGTTACAAGAGCAGGTGCAACAGCTCTATTTGGAGGAGTTCACGTATGATCAGTGAACAACGTCTTGATATTAGGGTTTGGTCTGGGATTCTTACAAAGCTGATGCTGCCAATTCAAGCTGCACAAATCAGATAGTTAAAAAATCTGTAAACATATATACACAATCTTATTTGATACAACAAATGCAGTCATACATAACAATCAGATACCAAATAGATCAAGTCTTTTTAAGAATATACATGACAATTAGGTGCGCATTAGGTGCGCCTATTAAATACTTCAAGCCTAGATAAAAAAATACGCTTTGCCCTAATTCCTTAGTGCCTAGACGCGCCTTAGGTGTGCTTTTCAAAACACTGATCCTTCTGATTTTAAATTTTCTTCTACGGTTATGTGGTTCAAGATGATTGACGTGTCAAGTAAGGAAGACTAAATTAAAAATCAAAGTAACATTGTTTATTACTATAATATGCTTTTCCAGTTCACGGTTCATGGGGGGTGACTGGGTAAGTGAGAGCAACTTAGATAACACTATTCCTCACCCTAATCTTTTCCATTTATTTTACGTGCTTTTCATAATTTTCAGCAAATCAAACAAACACACTACCTCACTCATTTATTAGACATTGGCCTTATCTAAAGTTTGAAGAGACTGAGACATAATAAGTCACTCTTGCCGTGTATGACAGAATTTATGAACATAAATATCACCATGAACATAAAACCATTCAACCAACAAACAAACTGACAGCAGGGCCTTTTACCTTTGATTAATTAGTGTACGCAGTCTTGACGATCTCAGAGTCAGGAACACCAACTTGTCACGGAAAAGCGGGTTTGCTTCTATCAGCTTTTTAAGCTCTACCAACATTATGTTACGAGCAGTTTTGGTGTCACCATACTTTGAAAGCTGCTTGTTTTCCCTGAGGTATCCAAAAAAGTTCTAAGAACTGTAACAATTTTATAAAAGGCAATCAAAGGAAGACTGCAGATCACATCGCACACTAGAAATGTTTTTTCAGGGAAATCTCCCCATTAGATAAAACATTTGAAATCGAGAGCAAACAAGATTTCCTGCTCCCAACTGACATGACAAGAACTAAATTATTACCACATTAGCTAGAAACACTAATTTTCCAAATTATTACTATAGCTCTTGTGACCACTCCACTTTGGGAGTTGAGGTCTTGCACGATAGATCTCCCCGGGTGCATGCAATATTTTCTATTCCCAACTGGCATGGTACAACCGTACAAATTAAAAGGATACAAGGATCCATCCTTAAATTATTACCATCACCAGGGAGCAATAGCTCGATAAACTACCGGAGAATACCCCAGTGTTCACTAACTAATTTTCCAAAATCCAAAAGACACAAGTCAAGGGCACAAAACAGTCTATCAATTGTCCACATGTGTTATATCCTATAAAGCATTAAACGAACCATTGTGGGGTTTGTAAAGTATACCTGAAGTTAGTTAGAGCTAAAAACTATGTGATTTCCTTGTAGAGCTCTTCATTGAATGTCGAAAATACTTTCAAATCACCAACAAGTATCTCAACCGCCTTGGACTTGTCTTGCCTAACAAATTCAAACAAACACCATAATTTTAATACCAATTTCACTCCCCCATATAATGACAGCAAATCAATCAAACTCGATGAAAACAAAACCGAAATCAAACATACCGGTCAAGAGCTTCGAGATACTTTTGCTTCCTAATCTCAAAGAATATCTTCATTGAATATCTGTTGTCATCCACTTTGGTAAACCCAGATAAATACTTTTCAACCTCATCCCACTCCCCTGCTTGCACTTTCTCCTCAAAGTATTTCATATTGAAGAAAAACCCTGACTCTTGCTCAAGCCTACCCCCAATCACCAAATTAAATTAAATTAACTTAAATAATTCATAAATTAAATAATACAATATACAATCAACAAATAAAATTAACAACCGAAATGACTCACCTTCTTCACTCTTCAGTGTAACTTTCATCTGATTGCTCAGCTACAATATCTTCCTTATTCTCAGCCGACTAACAATATCAAACAAAACTCAAATTTCACAATCACAAACTAATCCGAAAATTGAAGAACACCTAAACTTAAACTAATACTTCGTACTAATTAGGTAAATACCTCAGGAGAAACATGCAATGAAGTTAAATGCACAACATTTCCATCCAAATCAACTTCATCACAATTGCAATGAAATCCGAATACCTAAAAGATTAAACCAAATTGAAGCAAAATCAACACATTTTTAACTAGATAACATTAGAATTAACTCATTAAGCGATGATTTTTTGACGATGATACCTTTGTTTGAGTATGCCGCGAAAACTCAAAATCAAAAAAAGGGACAAAATCAAACATCACATACAAATTCAAACTAAAAAACAACAACCAAATCACAAAATCCAAAATCAAAATCCAAAAACTCAACGAAATTGAAACCCTAACCCAAATTTTACAAAATTAACAAAAAAAAAGGAGGGATAAACCTTGTGAGGAGCAGCGTTGCCAGTAGAGATCTAGGCATCGTTCTCCTAGTTTTTTAAGGGCTTGCTTTAACATCTCCATTAGTGACGACTGCGGTGGTGGTGGCTGGTGGTGGGAAGCTAGGATGGAGAGAGAGGAGGGTTGCACTGGTGGTGGCTGTGGTGGGAAGCTATGATGGAGAAAGAGGAGAGAGAGGATGGTTGCGTTGGTGGTGGCTGCGGTGGCGCGAGAAGAGAGAGGAGACATAGAGTTTGAGAGGAGAGAGGGGAGAGGAAACAGGAGAGTGAAGAGTGAGGAGAGAGAACGAGAGAGTTCGAGAGTAGAGAGGTGAGGAGAGAGAGCGTGAGTGTTCTAATTTTAGGGGTTATTTATATATTTGGGAAAAGGGCACCGGTTATTAAACTTGTTTTATTTTTTTTGTCTAGTCTTGCATTTTTACCACCGGTTTTCAATACCGGTGGGTATTTGTCGGTGCCTATTTATCTTTTTCTACTAGTGACATGACCTTTATTATTCTAAGAATAAAAAGAATCTTTACTCTTGATTTCAACCAGCTCTAAGTCATGGATAAAATCTTGAAAATCTCTGATCTCAAAATCAATAACCGGATTCCCATTAAAAATGTCTTGAGCAGATAAAACAGAATTATCACCAATACAAAGCCATGGAAGCTGAATGTTGCGTAAAGCCTTTATACCAGTCCACATAGACGATCTATGTTGAAATGAACGAAGGACATAAACAAAAGTATAAGCAATATGATGCTGCAAGTCTTTAGGAGTGATGATGGCATGAATGAATTGTTCAGTAACAACAATGACCTCAGAAGAAATAGCATCATGTTTCCACCCTACCCAAATTCTACCCTTAAGAGAGAAAGAGTAATTACAAACCCATTCCCAAGCTCTACCAAATTTCTTTTGGACGGAAGCTTAATTATGCACCTTAACCTTAGTTTCAAGGATAACTAAAACATCAACTGATTGATCTCTAAGTACCTGCTTTACATTAGTTACTTTATTAGGGTCATTGAGACCCCTAATGTTCCAAGATGTAATAATCATGGAACCAGAGGGGGATTACCTTCACCCTTGCTAGGAATAGCAGCCACCTCATCAGCCATTAGAGAATTGTAAGCATTCACCCTTGTAAGTACCTGTTGAGTCTGTCTAGTGTTATGAGTTTTAGTCTTCTTCCCAACCATTCTACAACCATTATCAAAGTTCACATTACTATGATCTGGGGCAGGAGTAGAGATAGGTGGATCAGCAGGTCTACTAGCCTCTTGAGAAACAGTAGGCTAGGTCCGGTTTGGGCTTGGCTTAGTGATTTGGCCATAACTTCTTCGTTATAAGACGGATTTGGACTTATAATATATCATTAGAAAGCTCTTTTCAAGCCTCATCCAACTGAATAATAATTGGACCGAGATTATGGACCAAAATAATCAGGTTTGGATGTTTTTATGATTTGACATGAAATGAATGATTTCAAGGGACACAAAATGAATGATTTTGGGTTTAAAAACACGAAATGAATGATTTTAGAATAAAACATTTTAAGAAATGTTATAGATAGTTAAGGCTAAAGGGAAATTCACGAGACTCTTTAACTCTTCACCTGACTCGATAATCAAAGACGTGAAAGATACTCGTCACTGAGTATTGTTTTTGGGAAGACATAATCAGGTGTCTACAATTTCCTATTCCTATCTCTTTTTTTAACTCACCTCTGATCTCATGAATAAATTATCAATGTTTCAATATGGAATAAAATTGTATCATTAAAGTTTAATACTTCCAGGGTTGAATATCTCATATTGCCTAATCTGATCATGATCATAAATGCCTCAATTCAGCTTCATTCATTTTCACTAGCACTCAAAAGGATAATTTTTTTTTTTATAGAAAATCAAAATTTTTGAAATCTTTGATACTCTTACTACTATTTAAGAATCACATACATTTTAGATAGTAGTAAAATTATTTCAATAGTTCTTAGAAGAGCAATATCTGAAGATTTTTTTTTACTCTAAACACTATTTTAAAATCTCCACTTTCATAAGGTGGTACAATTATTTGACCATTTCTCATCTTTTTAGACAATGATACAATTATTTCACTAGTTCCCAGAAGAGAAAAAAATACAAGTTAAAGCTTGAAATCTTTTATACACTTTACTTTAAAATTTCCTTTTCAGACAGCGATTTAACTATTTCACTGGTTATCTTAGCAGTAATTATATATTTTATTTTCAAACAGATGTACAACTACATTAGTGGTTTCTGAAAGAGAGATATCTAAAGCTTGAATATTTGGTACTCTTTATACCGCTTTAGAATTTCATTTTTCAGACAGCGGTGTAACTATTTCACTGGTTCACGAAAGAGTAGGGAAAAAAAAATCAAAATTAAAAGCATAAAATAGTTGTTGTATCTAATTTTCAGACAATAGTAATCCATTTCAATGGTCTACAAAAGAAACACTACCAAAAGGTTAAACACTTCTGAACTGTTAACACCATTTTAGAATCTTACTCGGACAACGATATAGCTATTTCACAAATTCTCAAAAAGCAAAAGCAATAATGATAATATCAAAAGCTTGAAATCTTTTAAACTCCTCCCTTATATCACTACTTTAGAATCTTTAGTACAACTCTTAAAATCTTTTAGTTAGTGTTACCAACTAACTATGACTATGAGTAGGTGATCTTCAAACTCAAAACCTTAATCAACAACAACACAAGAAATCCTTGTCGGTGCGTGGGAGAAAAAAACTACAATAAGAGGGAGAAAATTATAAATACACACTTGAAAATTTTTTAGACAAAGAAATTAATTCAATTTCTGTGTTTTCGAAGGGCCTTCTTTGCAAATATTCTCGCAATTTCGCAAACCCTAATTTTTTTCTTTCTCTCTCCTCGACGGCCTCCTTCGGCCCCTTTTCTCTCTCTCTCAAAAAAAAAAAAAAAAAAAAATCCCCAAATTCACAAACACCCCTTTGTTCAATTGCTTGGGTGAATCTTCATCAATCAAAGATTAAGGTTTGTAAATTAATTTCATTTTGATGTACTTTTTATTATAAAGTTTTGATTTTTATTTATTATTTTTATTTGGGAGATAAAAAAAAATCAGAAAGATCCGTTTTTTATTCTGTTTTATGCTTTTTTAAATTTAATTCTGCATCTGGGTATTATTGAATTTAGGGTTTATGGTGAGATCTGGTGTAAAGTTCTTATCTTTTGTATGAATGTTTTAGGGGTAAGGGTTTTCATGAAATCCTATCCAATTTCAAATCCAAAACCCTATTTTTTTTTTTCAGACCCTTAAAGTTGGAATCTTGTTCGAAGGGATTGAAGAATTTAGGGTTTTTAAGAAGTGTCCAAAGTTTTTAGGGGTTTTGGAAAAATTAAGGAAGCAAACCGTACATGTATGGCTTCGGAGACTTTAGGAGCTGATGAGCTTCCTAGGGAAAGACATCGTTGGAGTGAGAATTATAAGGTTTATACTCGAAAGTATAAAAATAACATCAAGAAAAACAATGATGTCAAAAATCTTGATGATTCCACCACCACCACCACAACTTCTGCCGCTGCTGCCGCTGTCGAAAGCCGTGAAACGGAACATACTGTCATTGCCACCAACAACATCGATAATGATGCGTTGAATGATAATAACATCGAAAATGATCGTGTTGACAACGGTAATGGTAATGGTGTTGCGGCTATTAACAACAGTAGCTGCAGCAACAGCAGTCAGAATGTAGACAACAATGGTAAGGAGGGTGAAAATGAGAAGAATGGTGAGGATGGTCAGGAAAATGTGTCCTTGCCGCTTGAATTGCCGGCTGAGGGAGCAAATTCCTCGCAACCCCAGCAGAATTCACCGCGATTGGGGACTTTGTCGGGGGATTCATCGAGTCTTAATCCAGGCGAGGCAGCTCCTGTTCCGAATGGGCATGATGAGAATTTGGAAAATGGGGTGGTGCTGAGACCGTTGGTTACTCAAGTAGATGATAGGTTGAGTATTAGTGTTTCGGCTGCTAGGTCGAAAGAGGAGGTTAAAGGGTTGAAAAGGAAGTTAGTGGATGAGCTTGATCAAGTTAGGAAAATGGCGAAGAAACTTGAGGACAAAGAGAATCAGCTTAGTACGTATTCAAGTATGGTTGTTGAAACAACACCTCCTGTTGTTGGGCGCTTGCATTTTCCGGTTAATGGTGGAGTTGAAAAGGGGGTGGGTGGTAGTATTAGAATGCATTCAGAAGCGGGTTCTGCTGGTTATAGTAATTCGAGGTCATTCAGGCAACTGTCAGTTTCTGTGATGGATAACAATCACCATGGAGTCGGAGGTGAAATTGTCGAGAAAGAAAAGAGGACTCCCAAAGCGAATCAATACTATCGAAATTCAGAGTTCCTTTTGGGTAAAGATCGGCTCCCACCTGCTGAGAGTAATAGGAAAACAAAGTCAAGTGGCGGTAAGAAGCATGGGGGAGGAGAAATGGATTTTGCTTACAGAATTGATAAGAAATTTTTTAGCAAATGTAGCAGCTTGCTGAAGCAGATAATGAACCATAAGCATGGGTGGGTGTTTAATCAACCTGTGGATGTGAAGAGGCTTGGTCTTCGTGATTATTTCGATATTATAAAGCATCCAATGGATTTGGGTACAGTGAAGGGTAGGTTGACCAAGAATTGGTACAAAACTCCGAGGGAGTTTGCCGAGGATGTAAGACTTACTTTTCATAATGCTCTTACCTATAATCCTCCTGGCCAGGATGTTCACATCATGGCTACAGAGTTGCTAAATATTTTTGAAGATAAGTGGCCTGCTATTGAGAGTGAATATGATCGTAAGTTGAGGTACGAAATGATTCGTGATTTGCCAACCCCAACATCAAAGAAGACATATGCTCCTGCTCATGTTTCAGTGCCTATGTCCTTTGCTCCACCTCCGCTTCTTCACCCCCCTCCAACCATTCAAGAGATAAGAAATCTGGAGAGGTCTCAATCTATGCCTGTTAGACAGGAATCTAGGCCAAGGCCTGCATATTCGGCAGGAAGGAAGCCTGCTCCAAAGAAGCCTAAAGCCAAGGATCCCCACAAAAGGGACATGACCTTTGAGGAAAAGCAAAAGCTTAGCACTCATCTTCAGAGCTTGCCTTCAGAGAAGCTTGATGCTATAGTGCAGATCATTAAGAAGAGGAATTCAGCTCTATCACAACATGATGATGAGATTGAAGTGGATATTGACAGTGTTGATGCAGAGACACTTTGGGAGCTGGATAGATTTGTGACTAATTACAAGAAGAGCCTAAGCAAGCATAAGAGGAGAGCTGAACTTGCTCAGGCTAGAGCAGCAGCAGCGCAGGCTGTTCAAGAAACAGTGAGTTTTTTTTTTTTTTAAATCCTCAGCTTGCAGTCTTAGATCGATAATTATCATGTGGATCTTTGTATGCTAAATGAATTGTATGTTCGCTTGTTACAGATTCAAGTTCCTGCCACTGTTGAAGTGCCTAGAGAAACCACAGCAGGTAACTAGCTAAAAGATTTGGATCAGGATGTTTCACTAGTTTGATTATTATTTTTTCTTATGAATAATTGGTTTAAATGAATGTCTCCTAGATAAAGGAAATGTTGCCGCTTCTCCTCCTGCTCAGCAAGAGAGGCGCAGTGATAATGAAAGTGGTTCAAGTAGCTCAAGCAGTTCTAGTAGTGATTCGGGATCTTCAAGTGGTAAACTTCTAGTGCCAAACCACCCTCCTTTCTTTAGAAAAAAAATAAAAAAACATTCAATCTTACCCTGATTATTTTCTTGCAGATTCAGATAGTGATAGCTCTTCTGGCTCTGATTCAGATGGAGGCCATTAACATAGGATCTAATGTTTGTTAAGGTGGGTAGCAACTACTTTTGAGTAATTTCCTCTTCCTTTCTTCATATAATTCGAGTTTTTAGCATTTGAGAAGCTAATTTTGGTTTGCTAGCTTGTACTTTGTATATTTTACTTGCTTATTGTGATAGTTTGATAACCTGCATGCCAAATATGTGTAAGACCTACCCCAAGTAAAATTCTATTGGCCTCGCCATTCTTGTAAAGGGAATGATTTGTAGGGGCTCACCCTACTTTGCATTCATCTATTTACTGACACAATTACCTTTGGGGTCTCTGTTGTAACTAGTATATTTTGTATAAACTATGTTTTAGCATCTGGCTTAAATCCACGTAATTAAGTTGTGATCCTGGCACACAGTTCAATCTGGACCCTGTTTATATGAAAGCATGCCTCGGCCTAGCTTAAGGCACTGAATTAATTGGAGATGATTGCCTGTAAGGTGTCTTAAGGCACTTCAACCTAATTGGTTATCTTTAGAGTATTTATTAATTAATGTTTTCCATAATAATGAAAACCACAAATCCTTTTTACTTTACATGATATTGTAATGCATAATTTGGTGCCTCTTTTTGAAAGTTTAGTGAGTTTTATTTAGCTTATATTGTACTCCATGCTATAAGCTTTTTAATTATTAAAAAGGTGTCACTGTACTTTTACTTTTGCTTAGTTACAGGGGCCTTAATGATCTTTGTATTTCTTGTGCTTTTTTACAGCACTGCCTATGCATTCAATTTCTTGAATTAAGCCTCTACTAAATAGACTGATGTCAGTATTGGAATTGTTGTGCATATGTAATTTTGAATTTTTTGACATCTAGAGTGATGAAGTAAAACATAATGCATGTAGAACTTTTTTGGCATCTTGTTAAGTTGCTTGGCTTTGTCTTTTGAATTTCTGAGGGTCATTTTATCTGTTTTGATGTGATATTTCCCTTTGTGGAAGTGAGAGTAGTTCATGGCAATCATCTGAGATTGATATTCTTGAAGGAATACTTCCAGTATAGGTGTTAGTTTGAAATTTTTTGTGACAACTGACAAGTTGTCTAGCATGTTTCGCTTAGGTTTTATATAAATTATTAATAGTGATACATGTATGTGATTCTTATATGAACTTTCTTTTGTTACTTGACAGTGTTAGGTAGTTAGATGCAAATGGTGCATGCTGCAGTTGATGGATAGCCGAATTGCCTTTGCATTATGAAGCCTTCCTTTTGAAGTTGCTGCCCATCCTGGGGGATTTCAGCTTGCCCCTCATAAATAGAACTTTTTTTATTTGATGGCTCTATAATACCTGTATCTGTATCATAATCTATACATTGGCAGTTTCAAGATGCTGGTGTAGCAATTGTATATTTTTCCCTAGATTTTGTTACTCACATTTCTGCCTAAGTATGTGATAGGCAAGCAAATGACTATACTTGATTGTCACTGGCGTACATATAGGGTGGTAAGTTCAGGATTTCGCTGTAGCGTGTAGGTGGTTAGGCTTGGAGTTGAATTTCTATCTTTGAATTAGCTTTAGCTGTTGTACAGTTTAATTTTGTTGTATGAGGATAGATGGAATTCTTTCAGTGACTAGATTGTTCGCAGTTATGTTCATTCTCAGTTTAAAGATCCATTCATCCATCTTGTTTAGCTATATTAGGGGTGTTATCTGTAGTTCAATTCGCCTTTTCAATTCGTGAAAGAGTGGAACTCTTTCTGTTTTGGGTTTGTGGCCTCCTGTTCTTTCTGGACTTGCTGTCAAACTGTACGGTAGTTGATATAAAATTTCAACTATACAAAATAATAATGATCTTCGTTCTGTTTTAATCTGGAAATTTTACCCTGTCTTACCCATACTTACTATGTTTTTTTTAACTTTTATAAATTAGCCATGTACAATTGTATTTAAAATATGCATTGGTAAGCATGAAAGATTTTCACAGGTCTAGAAATAAAGTTTGTTGATCAAAATGATTTTGTTAGAAGGTTATTGATAGTAGAACTAAACCCAACAAATGGCAAGGTTCACGATTCTTTATTGACATTTGAATCCAGCCGAAACAAAAAACGGCGAGCATTTGGGAGATTTTCAAATAGTGCCACACTCAATACAACATGGCAGCGAGCAAAATTATATAGTTTAAAGAGCCGGAACCAACTAAAAATCTTAAATGGTTCAATTCCTAAAACAAGGACTTATATTCACCTCTACACAAAAGAGGGATGTTCTCGCAACTCTCATTCGTTGCTGGCGAACTCAATTCCCTTATCAATGGATGATTTAAGTTCAGCCTTGAGTTTTTCTAGACTTTCTTGCTCATACTGGGATAGAGTGCCCAATCCATATATTTCTTCCACTCCATTCTTCCCCAATCTTACCTGCAAGTAGAGCAATGTTAGGAAAAATTGTATATAAACATATACATAACCTAGATCTATGTGACTATGTATATAGCAAAAGGAAAGCCACTAGAATGATGTATCAGCACTTCATGATTCCATGTATTTTTCAACCAAAATTAAATAACAGAGGAGTTACATGTACTCAACATCACAACTCACAAAGATACCTTTTACCACCCCACTAGTAAAATTATAGACTAAAGAAAAAAAACAAAATGGGAATGCTAATCATTCAGAGGAAGTCGACTTTGAAGGAATCATCCAATCACAAGACTGAAAACGACACCAAAATAACCACAGCAAAGAAATGCGAAAAATACAGGATCATCTAACCACCGAAACCAATACAACCACACATTATCCATTTTTGAGCCTTAAACTTAACATTTGTAATTGACTGGAAAAAATAGTGCGAGAATAGTTTGCAATGGCATTTTCTTGTTACCAATTAAACAAAAAATAATCAAATCTTATTATAAAGCAAACAGACAAGTTCCAAATGTATCAGCTATTTAGTCAAGTGTACAGTAATCCAATCCCGACACAGGTAAGGAAACACAAATGTAACAGAACACCATCCAATCCCTACATGGCAAAGGTTTCTGATTTTCTGCCAGTAACAAGTCTACATATTATTTTTTATCAATGACAATCAGCAGCCACTTCATCACTTAAACATACATAATATGTATCACACAAGAATTTTATTTGCCAATTTCATCAGCCTTAACTTGGAACTATGCAGTAGAGAACATAAATTACAAAGACGATACGTAAACAGCTAGGCATATCTTGCTCATTACAACAGTCAGTACATTCTAAAATAGAAATAAAGGGATTTGAGTAGTTTAGTGGAACCAAATAGAGGGTGACACACGCTATTACTAGAACTCTACAAGTAGATTTGTTGAGTGACCAGACCAGACCAGACCAGACCAGTAACAAGAAAGAGCAAAGACAGCTACGAAAAATTACAAGTACGCAAAGAGGGAAAACAGAATTGAAGCTACCACTGCTGGATATTCAACCAGTAACATTTAATACCTTAGAAGCAAAGAAGGGCAAATCAGTGACAGTTGATGCTACGTAAGAACACTCCACAACATCTGGCACACCATTAAGTCCCTTCAAGCAGGCATCGGCAAATATGGCTCCAGCATAACTACAGAGGATAAGAATTTAAGCCAGGAGCATCAGCAATCATATAGACGAAAAGAACAGCTGTCATTGTAATATTTTGAGAAAAGAAGAATATTAAATCAGAATTATTATTAACAAAGTGGCCACATATTGGCCTCCAAATATTCTGTGTATCTAATATGAAGGGTCAGAAATGTTCTGCGACTTCTGCCTGACCTCAACTGATTTCACATGAAATCATACTTGTGTCAAGTTGCCATAACTTTCACTCCATTTGCAATAAAAAGGGACAACTAGATTTGACATTGATATTTCAAGTAAAACCTATCTCTAGAATGAAAACTAGCGATATATTGTTCCTAAATCCTCAGTAATTAAGCATAAGAGGTTTCTTAGAAGATCAGACTTACGCCATAGACAATGTTGCTGAACCCTTTCCAGCCTTAGCCTCAACCACCTCTGTTCCTCCATCTTGTGTTCGCTTTGTAAGATACTGAATGTCAGCGTTGGAAAGATTGGCTTGTGGGTGAGCCTAACAGGGCAACAAGAAAACTTAGAACCAATGAAGTTTAAAGACATATTAAATGAGCCAATTACTGCCCTGTAAACAACATTGTTAAAAAAGTGAGGTTAAGCGGAAAGGATGAACACAGTCCATGTACATACTTGAGAAAACAATGGAAGAATGGTTATGCCAGCATGACCTCCAACAACAGGCACATTGACCTCTGCAAGTAAGCAGACAATATAAATTAGCAAAATCATATCACTTGAACAAAAGGCCACTTGACAAACAATCAATATATTGCCAACTACCTCTACATGGATATGAGACAATTGAAAAGGCCAGCATAACATGTTACAATGTAAATCAGCACACATGGACATGGACCCTCAAGCAATGTTACAATGTGACTTTAATGGCATACCTTCAACTGGAAGGCCAGCCTTTGTAGCATAGAAAGTCTTAGCCCTAACGACATCCAGGGTTGTCACACCAAACAACCTTTTGGGGTCATAAGTTCCAGCATTCTTGAAAACCTCAGATGCAATAGGAACTGTTGAGTTCACGGGATTGCTAATCATGTTGACAAGAGCCTAATTCAGACAGTCACCAGAAAGATCACTACGTAAGATATAGGATGCATAATTCGTTCAGCAGATTACAGAATACACTAAACATGAAAAAAAAAAATGAAAAGCAAGTTTGAACTCACATTAGGACAGTACTTGGCAACAGATTTGCAGAGATTTTTCACGATACCAGCATTGATTTTAAAGAGGTCATCGCGAGTCATACCAGGCTTCCTAGGCACACCGGCAGGAATTATAACAACATCTGATCCTTCAAGTGCCTTGCCCAATTCTTTGTCCTCTGCATAACCAAAAACCTGTGCAAAATATAAATCACATCTACAAATTAAATTTCCATTACACATCCTACACTGCAGAACCATTAATTAGGAACAAATATGGTATTAACAGATAATATGTAAAGCTACCATGTCAAAACTATCTATCACATTACATTCCGCCGTATCAGTGATGTGAGAAGCTTTAGCAAAGATTCAAGCTAATCAAAGTATCATTCATTCCATGTAATAGAAATAAAAAGTATCAAACTTTCAATAAAATAATTCATGCACACATTGTACCATTACATTCCGCTGTATCAGTGAAGTGAGAAGCTAAGATTCAAGCTAATCAAAGTATCATTCTTTCCATGTAATAGAAATAAAAAGTATCAAACTTTCAATAAAACAATTCATGCACACATTGTACCGGTATTAATGGTACCCAATGATAATACACAACCTCACCACCTAGCTACCAGAATCATTTCTAACTACAACTAAAATTAAAAAATACAAGCACCAAAATCCCTATTCATCCAAAATTGAACAAACAAAATGAAATGGTTTTTGAGTTTTTGACAAAACCCCAATTTCAAAACAACAACCGTTATAAAAAAATATGACACCAATAATCCAAAACATTAGCAATTAAGTAAGCAACTAAACCAAAACCCTAGAAATGAATCACATAAACCCAGAAAATATTTTTTACAAAAACCCTAGAAATATAACAATGACCCTTAAAACCCCATTAAATTCGTATAATGCAATAAACCACAACACTAAAAAATTCCATAAATATCAAGCAAATAAGTAATTAAACCAAAACCCTAAAACTGAATCACATAAACCCAGAAAAATCAAAAATAAAAAACCCTGAAAATGCATCAATCTACAATCAAAACCATCAAAATGTACAAGATCAGATACAAACAAGAACAAATTCACCATAACAAACACGACCCAGAATCCAAAATCAAAAAATGACGGAGAAAGAGGGGTAAACCTGAGCACGAGTATTGATATGGCTGACATCGGCGGCAACACCAGGAGTACCAGCAAGATCGTAAAGAGAAAGGGTGGAAACAAGAGGGTTGAGCTTCATAAGCATGGAGAGAGACTGGCCGATGCCACCGGCGGCGCCGAGGATGGTGACTTTGCGCTCGGGACTAGCGGCGGAGGCATAATTGCGGGTGTAGTTGGATTTGCGAGCAACTGATTGGACGGATCTCAGGATTTGGGACCTCATTGTTGCAGGTTAAAAATGGATGAGAGAGAAAATGGAAGGAAGCAAGGAAGAAAGAGTCGAAAATGAAATGGGGGAGGCGATAGAAGAAAGGTGGGGTTATTTATGTTGATATTTGTCACTCTTGTTAGATGTAGATTGCATCAAAACAAAAAAGGATTTTTTAATGTGTGTTTTTTTTTTTTTTTTTTATTAGGTAGTATTATTATTATTTTAGCCTTTTTATTAAAAATCCCTTTAAGAAATTACCAATTTGAAACGGTAGTGCCCATATGATCAAACCAATACTCTTGTGGGCCTTGATCACTAAATTATTTTATACTCTCTCCGTCATTATACGATGTTCTTTAGGTTTTTATGCAAAAATTAAGAAAGTTGAAAATTCCTTTGAAAATAATTGAACAGATAGAGATAAAAAGGGTTGAAAATTAATGTTAAAAGTACAAAAAAAAAAAAAATTAAACTCATCAAAAATAAGAGTAATAAGGTTAAAAAGTACAAACTTTAAATAAAAAGAGGCATCCTATTCATAAATAAATAAATAAAAAGTGGTATTGTATTTTGGTTTACCAAAAAAGAAATAGTGACATTGTATTATGAAACGGGGGGTAATACTTTTTTATTATTCTTTTTTTGAAAAAAAAAATGAAAATAAACCATTTCTTCAATCATCGTCACAGCCATAAATATCATCACAACCATATCAAGCCGAAATCCTCTCTTCGTCTTCCCATCAATCTATTTGTTTTCTCGTCGTCCTCTTCTTCTAACCCTTGTCGTCCTCTTTATCTTCCTTCCCCGACAATAATGGCCTCAAAGCTGATTTGTGACGGAACAAAACCCTAGTAAAAAGAGTGTCAAATAGGACCATATCATTCCCTATGGAGAAGCATCTTCTCCGCAACAGAATTTTTAATCACCATAGGTGGTGATGGCATTGCTGTGATGGAGGAGGAAGAAATTGGGATGGACTGTGATGGAGGAGGGATAATTGAATAAGGGAGTAAGAAAAGGAAGAAAGTACTAGTTTGCCTCAAGATAAATAAGTGAAATATCTTATATACCCTTGTTAGTATATCAGGCTTGCGAACATGTATTTTCTCATTTGAAAAAAGAGCTTATTAGACCAAAAAAGTGTTTTCAAATACTTTATAACTCTTTACTAAGTATCTTAGAGTTTTTTTAGAAAGGACAAATGACTCTTTTTAATCTAAAAAGCCCTTTTTGCTCCAAACTCTTAATCAAACACTCTCTTTGTAAGACTGCGTCAAAAAGGTTTTATTATTAAATTATTGTTTGGTTTTGGTAATAAAAAAAAATTTGTACTCCCTCCGTGTTTTTTTAAGTGTCATAGTTTGACCGACACATAGTTTTAGACAATTTAATTGACTTAAATAAATTAAGAGGTAAGTGGGGTGGTTGGAGTATTAAAAATTGTACAAGAAAGATGCTGGGGTTAATAATTTATTGAAAAACAATGAATGTGAGAAGAAAGATATAATAAAAAAAATAGTAGTCGGTTTAGGTGGGGACCATGAGAGGAGAGATATATAAATTTTTAATATAGCTTTTTGCCAAAAAAAAAAGAAGTGTAACACTTATTAGAATACGGCCAGATTTGGTAAGTGTAACACTTATTAAAACACGGAGGGAGTAATACAGATGGTTTTTGGTTAAGAGCTTTTAGGAGTAAAAAAAATGTTGTTCGAACATATCAAAAAGCTTGAAGTGTTTGCTATTGGTTGCTTATATACTGAAATAATTAATATGGAGTAGTTGACAACTATTTACCAAACACTTTTTCACAAACAACTAATTACAATCATCTTGTCAAAACAGTTAATGCAAACATTTACCGGCTAGCAATTAGTCAAAACAACTAACAATATAAGCTAATTGCCAGACAATGCCTTTTACTCTTTTGGTTGTTTATACACTAAAACAATATTAGCAAATATTTACATAACACTTTAACACAACACAACTAATTATGATCATCAAGTCAAAATAGCTAACACTAAGCTAATTTATAGCAAGTCTCTGCAACCATTAGAGATGCTATAAAGGTGTAAAAAACTAACCCAACTTTGGAGATGCTTTAAGGAGAAAATTGTCTAACACTATTGTTTAAAAAAATGCCAAAAATTATATGCCGATAAAAAATGTAACACTTAAAAAAAATATGAAGTGAGTGACTTAAATTTGAAAATGATTAGAGGTGATCAATATCGGTCCGTCCCGTTAGCCCGGCTCGAAAATAGGTCAAGTTTGGGCATGCATAAAACGCATTTTTAGTTAAAAATCTGAACTCAATAAAAATAAAATTAAATTTTTGCGTAACAAGGCCGTTACTTTTTTACGGATTTAGACACGAGATATGATGTTAAGGTCCGACACGGATTGATTTTTTTTTATCACCCTTAGAATAGACCAGATCCAATTACCCGAAGGTACTAACTCTAACGACATCAATAAAATTCAACGAGTGCGCAATCGTGTGATTTCATCCAAATAATACTTTAAAAAAAACAGCCTCGCATCGCACCATTTCCATCTCCTTCATATTTTTTCTTCCTAAAAACCAGAACAATCCAACTTGTTCACTTCTATCAACTTTACACAATTTGAAAAAAATGGTAAATTTATCTTAACCCCTTTTAATTTATCATACTTGGTTGAATTTTGTATCTTCTTTGATTTTTTTCTAATTTAATTTGTGATTTTTTGAATATAATTTGTAGGTTTGTTTGGCATGTTTGTTGCCTCTTTTTCTGATCCCAGTTGTTAATGCTCTTCCTCTTCTGTATCATATTCTCATGGTAAGCCTTTCTCCTGTTCTTGATTTTTCTGGGTTTTTGTAAAAATTGTTTTTTTTATGAATTTAATCTGAATTTAGGTTAATTTGATTGTGTTAATTGATTAATTTTGGGGATTTCAGGCAAGAGTGTATCGATTATTAGGCTGGGAATATAGGAAACCTGAGAGGGTTCCTCCAGCATGCCCTTTCAAGCCAGGAATGTCCAACAACACTAATAAATCTGGGGTAAGTTACATTTTTTAAGTAATTTTTATGATTTTTTTTGCTGTATGAATTAATAATCTTGTTGTTTTTGGATCTTAAAATCAAGTTATGAGTGATGATTGTTTGTAAACCAATATACCAATGATGATGGTTGTCTATAAATTTGTGATCTTTTGGTGTGAATTCTTTATTTGTAGAATTGTATGATGATGATGGTATTATTGGTATATGCTTATATTTAGGAAAGAACTGTGGAAGGTGTTTTGAGGATTACTTAACTTCTGGGCTGTTCCAATGTCGAATTGTTTGCAAAATCTTAGCCTCTTGATTGCGGCGGGGTGGTTTGGGAGCTAGCTTCTTCAATACATGTATTATGTATACAGTTTATTTGGCGTTAGAAAGCCAATTGACCAAATAGCTGTGTAAAGTTTATACCCTTTTGGTAATATAAGTGAATCATATTAATCCATTTTGAAGTTTTAGATTGAATGATAGGATTAAGAAGTCGCTCACTTAATATTATAAGCTAGATATTGAGTATATCACAGTTTGTTGAGAAGTTCAACTGTTGACTTATCTAGACTCAATCTTTTTGGTGAACTTTACTTATTTTTGCTAAATTAAACTAATTTGTTGGAACATATTAGTTTATTAATTTTAGGAGATTAGAGTCTAAGAGTCATTGTGCAAAGCGGAGGGTGTGCCAGTGTGGTACTTGCCTCACAGATTTGAGGCACAATTATTTTAATTAAAACAATTGGTGTAATTAATGCTGTTGTGTGCCTCCCTCGCACCTCTCTAAAAGTGCCTTAGTGCCTGACCCCTATCTTCTTGGGCTTAAAACACTTTTTTTTGTACATGTAAATATGTAATTACTGATACTTAGTTGGCTATGTACTCCATTGACTGCATTTCTTCAACAAAATCGAGTAATTCCTCCATAGAGGCTTTAATTGATTTGTTTTTGCTATCAATACTTTTTTTAAAAAAAAATTTAGAAAAAAATGTTGAGATTTTGGCATTAGGGAGGATTGATGCCCTGCTTTTTGGAATGATTAAAAAGTTGAGATGATTTATATGCATTCAAAAGGTGGGATCATTTATGGCAAATGGTGTACTTATTCCAAAAGAGAAATTACAATTACATGAATCCTTCCTTTCTTACCCTTGTTCTGCTGTAGTTTTAAGGCTAATTAATCAAGAAAATATTTGCACCAATTTATCCATTAATTATGTCTGCGTTTATTCAGTTATTTGGATGTTGGAGAGATATCTGGTTTTGAAGCCTTTTATGCATGCAAGTTACAAAATTTTGTTTAAACTATTACAAAAGGTTGGTGACTTGGTGGAATAGCTTTAATGAGATGTAATGAGCTATGACATAAGAACCAATTGGATTTAAAATTTGGTATTTTAAATGTGAATTAGAGTTGACTGGTTTCTCAAACTGTACCAACTTACGTGACTGCCCAAGTTTTTAATTTTTTACCTCGTACTTTGTATATGGCCTATGAGTAACTTGTTTGCTGCCTTTAATCTCTGTTTTGATGCATATAATCTGCATATGACACCATTTTATTGGATTATAGTGTAGCATCATGCCAGAAACATAGGCTGTCAATACTTCTGATGTGATGCTACCATCATTTTATTTGTTGTGGTAATGCCAGTAGTTAGAGCATAAAGCTAATCAGTAATAAAAAAATATGTTTGTTTGCTTGGGAGATGGTGAAATTGATAAGGGCGCTATGAATGACATTGTGATGTCAAGAAAATAGTCTATTGTGACTAGGGGTTTTTGAAGTATGCTTTTGAAAGAGGTAGGCAGTAGCTTAAAAAAAAGATGGCATCCTATCTTATCAATCCCTGTGCCGCTTGATGCCCAGAGTGTGAAATTATTCAAGGTTTCATGCTTGATAACCCACATATTTTCACATAATCAGATGTATGCAAAAGTGAAGCTTCTCCACTTTAGTTTGTAAGGTGTGGCTTAGATTTTAAACCTGAATTTCTCTTAGTATCTAATGTATCTTCCTTTGCAATGCTGGCCATATCTGTTACTATGAATAAGTTGAACTTATCGTTATATACTTTCTTTACCTATGGAAGAAAATCTCCTACTATAACTTTCCTCATAGATAAGTAAACTGATCTACTGTAGTTTGTAGCTTTCCTTTGAATTTCTATTATAGAGGTCATATGAGCTAGTGTCCTTGAATGAGTTGATGTTTCCCTCCTTGGAGGCAATAGCAACACAAAATGAATTATTCATGAAAATTGTGATGACGAAGCTTTCAAGCTCATGCAGGAAGAAGCTTTGATATTCTTGATAATGTGCCTTGAGGTACTGGAGTAGCAATTTTACGTTCTGGCCGGTGAGATTTAGTCTTCAACAAGATACACAGGCTATAAATATAGATTACAAAAGTTTACTTTAGGAGGCAAATTAAATTTCTAAGTATAAAGTTTTTTCGAAGTTGGATATGTTTTACAAAGTTAATGGTGATGCTTACTTTTAAATGGCTGCTAAGTTTTCGTTTTGTGTTTGGTTGGTTGGGCTTATGCTGTTATGGTCTTACCTATATGAGATCATGTGCACTGTAGGAAGACTAAATTTAGTTGCAATCTTAAATTAAGTTTTGTTTTATATGTGAATCTTCTGTTATCATCTAGTGCTGTTTGGAGCATGCTGCTTTTGAGTTTATCAACTTTATTCAGTTGGACTATAGGTTATCTCATTACTTTGAACTTAACAGGTGAATGTAGAATCCGAATCTTCAACGACAGATCCGAATCCAAAGCCAGTTGAGTTGCACAGCCAGAAGACTGATTAAACTTCAGTTTCTTTAGTGGCAGACATCCATCTGCAAGTTCTATTTTCACTGTGATTGTATGCAAGCTTACTTGATTGTTGGTTCGAAAGGAAATTAAAAGTATAAACGAATGTAGTAGTATTGTGGTTACTGTACGTCTTGTGTCAGTCAATTTCAGCATGAACTTTATGCTTCCTTACACCTCCTTCCCCTCATGTCGTACATAGTAGTTATTTGATTTCCGAAAGTTGTGTTCCTTAACCCTTCTCAGAAGGGGAAATAAGAAAAAGGAAGAGCCTTTTTTTGATAATGCCTTCCACAAATTCGAAACTACTAAAGAATAAAGATAGTAACAATGGTTAAGCAGTAATTTAAGATAGTTTTTAGAGGTGGAGCCTGGTTTGAATGCATCAGTATGGTGGAATTGTGTGGTCCGTGGTTGTTTCATGTGTTTGCTGGTGTCAACTGTCAACATTGCTATAAATTATCGGGCTACATACCCCTAACTCCTTGATCTAATTTTAAGGTGTGTAAAGCTTAAGATGTCACAAAGTAAATCAATTTAGTTGGATATTAAGATACCAGCCATGTTTCCAAAAAAAACGAAAAAAAAAGACAACATGAGTATAATGTCATGTACTCGTACCATATAGCTGGTTGTATTTAATAAGGTATAATCAAATTAATAAGAAACAAACTTGAGAAAAATAAATAAAAATTGGTTAAGCATTTATTAGGGTTTTATAAGAATATTTGCCGTGATTAGTATTGATCACCTCTGTCAAATATATACAAGCTATAAGCCTTAACTTAGGCATAGTTGTAGGCTACAAAATAGGAACTAATTGACAGCCCTTTAACTATATAAATTACAAGATAATTACAAACTAAATACTATAGATTATTTACATAATCTAACACACCCCCTCAGTCGATACGTGAGCTTTGCGAACGCTGAGACTGGCCCGAAAATCATCAAATAAGACCTTAGGAAGGCCTTTAGTGAAAATATCTGCAATCTGATATCGGGATGGGACATGTAAGACACGAACTTCGCCTCGTTGAACCTTTTCACGAACGAAGTGAATGTCCATTTCAATATGCTTAGTGCGTTGATGTTGTACCGGATTATTAGAGAGGTGAACGACACTAACATTGTCGCAATAAACCAAGGTTGCCTTCTTAATCGGACATAGAAGTTCTAACAATAAGTTACGAATCCAACATGACTCCGAGACAACATTTGCAACCCCCTGTATTCTGCTTCGGCGCTAGACTTCGACAAAGTGGGTTGTCTTTTAAAGGACCAAGAAATCAAGTTATCACCAAGAAAAACACAATAACCTGATGTAGAGCGACGAGTATTAGGACACCCGCCCCAATCGGCATCCGTATAAGAGACAAGAGAAGCTACGGATGACTTATATAAAGTTAAACCATAATCAGAAGTACCTCGAAGATAACGAATAATTCGTTTCAAAGCATTCATGTGAGCAACCTGAGGAGCATGCATAAATAAGCAAACCTGTTGCACAGCATAAGAGATATCCGGACGAGTGAATGTCAAGTACTGTAACGCCCCACACAATGAGCGATAAGTAGTAGGATCAGAATAGGGAGTGCCGGATTGAGTGCTCATTTTCCCTTTTGAATCTACCGTAGTCTAAAAGGGATTGCAGTTTGTCATACCTGCTTTGTGAATAATGTCATGAGTATATTTCTTTTGAGACAAAAATAGACCACTTTTGCTCCGAGTGACAGCAATACCCAAGAAATAACTCAAAGGACCCAAATCCTTCATGGCAAACTCAAAAAATGACATATTTCCGAAGGGACTTTGAAGAGGCCGTGAGCACAATATCATCAACATAAAGAAGAATATAAGCAGTGTCTTTACCACGGCGATAAATGAACAGAGAAGTATCCGATTTACTGTGAACAAAACCAAAGGAGGCAACAAAATCAGCAAAACGTTGATAACAAGCCCGGGGTGCCTGCTTCAAACCATAGAGAGACTTACGCAAAAGACACACATGATCAGGTCGAGTCGGATCCTTGAACCCCAAAGGTTGATACATGTACACTCTCATTCAAGTTACCATGTAAGAAAGCATTTTTCACATCAAGTTGATGAATAGACCAATCCTTAGCCAAAGCAATACTAAGAACCGTCTGTATAGTTGCCGGTTTCACAACCGGACTAAAAGTCTCATCACAATCAATCCCCTCTCTTTGAGTTTTCCCATCACCAACCAGACGAGCCTTATGTCTCTCAAAGGAGCCATCAGACTTCGTTTTATGCCGAAAAATCCAGAGCGAAGGAATCACATTCACATTGGATGGTCGCGGGACCAATTCCCAAGTACCATTATCAATAAGAGCATCAAATTCTTCCTGCATAGCAACTTTCCAATTATGGTCACGTAAGGCATGTACGGGATTTTTTGGAATTAGAGATATGGAGGTGGTAGTAAGCAGGGAATGATTGGTATATTTCGGATTTGGTTTTACAATCCCATGGTGACTACGAGTATCCATGGGATGAGAGGGCACGGGATTGAGAGGAGGAGGAGGGATAGGCAACTCAACCTCGGCAAAGGGTTCACCCCCCACGCCATCACCCGCGTGTGACCCAGCTGGGATGGCAGTTGATGAAAAATTACCAGGCTGCCGAGTGCTAGGGGGGGTGTCACACCCTTGCGTAGGTGAGTGGGAAGGAATGAGAGAGAGCGGGGGAGTGCGCTGCTCGAGATTAGGGGGAGGCAGAGAAGACCGCAGGGTGGCTGCGGCTTGAGCAGTCCCACCACAACCAGCCTGCGGTGTGGGCTGTAAAGGAGCAGTAGCAGCAGGCCGTAGCTCTCCCTCGGCCGCTGGAAAGCCATTGGGCTGACCAGAAGCATCGGGGTGCTGCTGCAGCTCTTGTTGCGCAATAATTTGACTCAAAAAATGAGGGTTGTCAAGGTTGTCCGAATCATAACTTAAAAAATCATAAGAATGAGATTTCGTAGTGTGAATATTAGCAAAAGGAAAGACCGACTCATCAAACCATACATGCTTGGCTATAATAATCTTCCTTGTTGACATATCAAAACACTTATATCCCCTATGATTAGATGGATATTCCAAAAAGACACAAGGAGATGAACGAGATTGAAGCTTGTGAATTTTGGATGAAGGAAATAGAGGATAACATAAACAACCAAAAACTCGAAGGTGACAGTAATCGGGTTGTTTTTGATACAAAATTTGTGTCGGAGAATAATAACCAAGGAGCTTTGTAGGTAAGATATTGTGAAGGTAAGTGGCCATTTCGAGAGCATGATGCCAAAAAGAGGGTGGCATGGATGTATGACAAAGAAGAGTACGAACAATATTATTGATCGTTTTGATTTTTATTTCCGCTTTGCCATTTTGAGGAGAGGTGTGAGGACAAGAGAGACGGAAAACCATGCCATGTTGGTGACCAATTTTTGAAATGGAGCATTTTTAAATTCTGTACCATTGTCACATTGAAAAGATTTAATTTCTCTTTCAAATTGAGTTCGAATATATGTGCGAACACGATTAAAAAGATCGAAGACTTGAGATTTAGAAGAGATCGGAAAAGTCCACAAAAAATTTGTGTAGTCATCAAGAAAGAGGACATAGTATTTATGTCCAAGAGAACTAAGAACGGGAGAGGTCCACAAATCACTATGTATAATATCAAAAGGCATAGTAGTATGAGACATCGAATCGTAAAAAGGCGATTTTATTAATTTACCCAAAGGGCAAGAATGATAGACATGTTTAGCCTTATTACATTGAATGAAATTACTACTACGCAATGAACTAAGAACCGCATGTCCCGGATGACCTAGACGGGAATGCCACACACTATGAGATATGACTGTAAAAGTTGACGGAATGGAGTTTGAGAGGACTTGACGATCAGTGAAGAAGGGATAAAGATCACCACTGCTATTAAATCTCACTAGCTTGCTCCCCGTCTGCAAGTCCTTCACAGAAAACCCAAAAGGATCAAACTCAATGGAAACATTATTGTCAATAGTGAATTTCCTAACAGAAATGAGATTTTTGACTAATTTGGGAACATGAAGAACGTTTTTGAGGTGGAGTGTGTTTTGGTTTAAGGATTTGTGACCATAACCATAAATTGGAATTTTCCTACCATCACCAACAATAATTGAATTATGAGGACCATTGCTCAAAGGAAAATAGGAAGACAGATTACCTTGAGAGTTTGTCATGTGAGAAGTAGCACCCGTATCCATGTAGTAGTTCGGATCAGTCAAACTCATAGCGTGCATCGCCTGATCAATGTTAGTAGGCGTGTACCCCGAGGAAGTCGGATCCGACATATAATAGGCTTGAGGTGGTCGTGGTCTAAGAACACCGGCTTGGTTGCCTTGCTGCTGCTGTGGTCGAGTTGCCCAAGGAGAGGAGCCCGAACCTGCTGACGGATAGGGGCAGGGAGGAAGAGCCCAAGGGCCCTGCTGCTGCTGCAGTACACCCAAGGCGGAGGATACATCCACCCTGTCTGCTGCTGTTGCTGCGACGGTGGTCTGTGCTGGGGTGGCTGCTGCCCTGAGCCACCGCGCTGCTGCCCGGAACCACCGCTTCCCTTGCCCTTGCCGGAGCCACCTTTACCCTTGGTGGATTTCCGGCCATTTCCTCCACCGCGCTGATTTGACCCACGAGAAGATTGTTGGGTAATTTCAGCATGGTTTTGCGATGCAGTATGGGTTTGCGTGATGTGAGCCTCGGCTTGAGACTCAAGAGAGAGATCAGTGGCATTCCCTTGTTCTTCTAATTCAAGCATGGAATGAAGTGCATCAAAAGAGGGCAGAGGATTGAGATGACGGACGGACGTACGAAAGGGTTTATACTCCTCCGAAAGACCTTTCAAAAGTTGTAGAGCCATCCGATTGTCGGAGACCTTATCACCAACATTTCTCAAATTATCAGCTAGGGGTTTTAAATGTGTGCAATAAGACTTGACTCCATCAAAATGATCAAGCCGAGTGTTTGTAAATTACGCATCAAATTGAAGGGCTCGCGCAGATTTGTTGTTGAGGAAGAAATTCTTCAACCGGTTCCACGCATCAGCGGCCGAGTCATCAGGGTCGAGAATAGAATTGAGTAGGTCATAGGAGATAGTCCCATAAATCCATTGACGGACAATATCATCAAGGCGCTGAGTGAAGGCTTTGTCGGCTTCCGTCGGAGCGGAAACCTTGGCTGAGGGATCAACTGTCGGAGGAAGAATATGGTCAATCACCAAATTGGCGGGGCAATGCAGTTGAAAGAGGGTAGACCAGCTATTGTATTGTTTGCCTTCATAATCAAGCGTGACAGGAATGCAAGCTTTGATATTTGTCACAATGGTGGCTGGGTGAATTTTGCTAGTGTCGGCCATGGATAGAGGAGGGTGACACAAAGGTCACAGGTTCGAATCTCATCCACCCCCACTTTCAAGTGGAATATTAAGCGTTGGGTATGAGGAGGGCCCATGCTGCATCCACACTTCTAGCCCAAACGGGCTCTCGTGTGAGGGGGAGTGATAGAGTATAAAACATATTTCTGGGCCTCAACCATCAGCTTAAGCTTTTGGTTGAGTTGGTCCTCTAACAGGTTTCTATTAATCCAAGCTTCATGGCCTCATGGGAACATCGATGATTCCAATTTCAATTGAATTTAAGTTTAATTTCGAATAGGAAAAATTTACAAGAAAATATAGGGGTACACTTGATGTACAAGAAGGAAAGGAATAGAAGGATGATCCACTTCAAAATAAAATTCTCTTTTAACTAATTGGGAGCTTGGTGTACATAGTTTTTTTTTTACACCAAGTGTACCTTTAGCATACTTTCTATTATTCATGAGTAATTTTAGATTTATTTATTTATTTTAAAATAGTTTGATTAGTTGTGTTAGTTAGGTTTTATTAAGGATTTAATTAAACTTTATTTAAAACATTAGGTAAAATTGTGTATTAGTTAGTCAGCTAATTAGGATGATTATTTATTACAATACACATAACCTATATGGGAAAAAACTTGCGTGGACCTTATCCACAATAATATTATTATGGACTTGAGGTTTATATGCACGCAGTTCACGTTATATTTGACATAGTAACACTAATATGAACATATATATCAACCTTATTTTTAACATAGTAACCTTTATTAAAACTTGTGCGACCTTTAATATTATTGTGAACCTAAAACGTGACGTTATGTTGAACATAATGACCCTAATTTTAACATGGCGACCTTTATTATACATATTGACCAGTATATAAAATATTTCATTGAATAAAATACCTCTTAGAGCCTTTATAATTCCCTAATAACTTGTAAAAAAAAGTCATTGTCACTTTTATTTCAACCTAATAACCTTTATTTTAATATAGTGACTTTTTTTTAATTAATTAAATAATCATAGTGTCTCTAATACTAATAGTCCATAATAAATTAGGGTGGGCTAGGTCCATTTAAGAGTTTGTAACCTAGGCGTAACATGTTGTAGCAAGCCAGGTACAAGCTGTGTCTTGTTTAAAGAAATAAAGGGGAGTTGTTTCCTGAGTTTTTATAGAGTCACGTAGGGTAAAAAATTTTCAACACACCATGTAGGATTATAAATATTAGTTATAACCAATTATATAACAAATTTATAATTTCTTTTAGAATTAAATAATTCAAATGTCCCATAAGCATAATTGGCGAATGAGATTTTCAAGTGTAATTAAATATTAAATTTTATCTTTTGAGATTAGGAATATTATCAAAATATATAACAAATGAGAGGAAGATCACAATTTATTTTAAAAAAATACGATTACAATAGAAAATTCAAACAGCTACATAGCTTTCACAAAGGCTAATCATATTATGTTTTCATAGAAGCTAATATAATATTAAATGTTGACAAAAACTGTACATTATTAATAAATATTCCTATTTTTTTTTTTTTTTTACTAATTAATGGTTTAGACAAGTCAAGCCACTAAACGCTAGGAGTGAGCAAACCAGGTATCCGATCAAATTTTTAGGACCAGACCCGAAATTGGTTGATACCGGGTCCTAAAATTCGGAATTGGAATTGGAACCACTTCAACCGGGTTCTAAACTTTATGTATTGGAATTAGAAGTGCCGGGTACCGGGTTCGGTTCCGGGTACCCACTTATATACATAATTATTAAATTTTAATACAAATTTAATACTTATTTTGATCCATTTTCATTTTTAGCGTTTAATACTTATATTTATATATGAATGATTGCATGAGCTATTTCATTTAGGTTAGATATTAATAATATATATATTTTTATTTTACTAACTAGATACATTTAACATTTTTTTTTCTTAAAAAAATATATTTAGTTTAATATATATTGAGTAAGCGGGTACCCAATCGGTTTCGGGTCCACATAATTGAAAATTGGAATGAAACCGGTTGCAACCGGTTCCTAAATTTATCACCCGGAATTGAAACCATCGGGTCCAATTTCAGATCCGAACCCACCAATTTCCTAACCGATTCCAGTTTTAACTCTGGGTACCCAGAATTTTTACTCACCCCTACTCGACAGCCGGTTACGCCCTTTATACAAGTAAAGATAAAGATAGTAGCCCCTAGCTAGTAAGAAAAAAAAAGGCTGAACAGAAACTTTACTCCGTATATTTTATCCAATTTCTTGATTGCTGACAATTTTGAATCAACGGTGCATGGCCAATCAAACTCTATTCTAAGTGGTATGTTTTGGACTGCCTGATTTAGAAACTACAATAATCCAAATTGAATTCAGCAAGAACTCTACCGGTGGAGCCGTGGATAGTTTAGGGCCATCTTATCTAAGAACAATAGTAAATTGCGACTTGGATTCATATTAGAAGTCCGTAAATTTTATTAATATCTTTAGGGTTAGGACTGAATGCCTATGTTACGTGCGAGTTGTTATTCTCTATACGTCGTAAAAAATAGTACTATAATATAATTGATTTAATGTTTTCTATAACTTTATTAATTTTAATGCAATTGAAAAATACACTCTTGATATATAATCTACTCGAGTATAAAAAAAGAAAATTGAACACTAATTAAACAATCAAGATCAAAGCTTAAAAATTCATACGTAAAATTGTATCTAACCCACATAAACATCCCTTGTTACCATTCTTTTTAAAGAATGGTTTACCATTAATTATTTGTAAATACTTATTCCATTTATTCTTCATATTATCAACCTTTAACCACCTCTTATTCATGCTTCTGCTCTTTGTATTCCCGTTTTCTTTGGTGAAAGTGTAGCTTCTTAGATACCTTTGTCTAGAAGCATATTGCAATTTCAACAACAACGATTGTGACGGCGATGGTAGTGATGGTATGGAAAATTTAGAGTAATGTTTTTCGTTGTCGCGACTTCTCTCTTCTCTTTGAGTTATTTCCTTTAAAAATTCAACATCCGAAATAGGCCATTCATAGAGCTTCGAGAAATTTATATTCATCTTTGTTCGTTGATTTAATTTAATTACTTTCTCTCGCTTCACCTTACACTTTATAATGTATGTATATAATAATTATTCATGTAACTATTTATATATTTATTATATACAAGACCGAAGCAAATTTGATTTGGAGTAGAGTTTGTTTTCAAGTAGGTATCTAATTATATGTTTCCTAAATTGAAACTGCAGTATATCATCTCATCTTGATATATATATATATATGTTTTTTTTTTGTTTTAAAAATTTGTATATTAATAATCTGTAATATGACTAATATCTTATTAGAACTCAAAGGAATTTTCTAGAATTTTTACAAAAAAGATTAATATTACAAGTTTAAGCATGTCATAAATCTCACTTGTCCTGGCGTGACACCGTCTTTGTTGACAATAAATCAACAATGCAATTGATGCAAACATCGCAGATCAACTTAATTAATTATTAGAAAAAAAAAAATTAAAGTAAAATAATATCATTACTTCCCCTCAAAAAAAAAAAAAAAAAAAAAAAAAAAATCATTACTTTGAGGTGTATGCAGAATCCGAATCCAAAGGTAGTTGAGTTGAACACAAAAGACTGATTAATGATAAGTTCGGTTGCCGGATATTGGTGCAAGTTCTAATTTCACTGTGATTGTATGTAAGCATACTTGATTGTTGGTTCAAAAGGAAGCCAAAAAGTAAAAACGAGTGTAGTAGTATTGTGGTTACCGTACCACCAAACTCCTTGATCTAATTTTAAGCTTAAAGAGTCACAAAGTTAGGGTTGTTCACTTCAGCTTAATTTTAGTTTAGTTCGGTTCAGCTCTAATTAGTTTAGTTCAGTTCAGTTCAGTTCAGATCCAATCAGTTTATTTCTGTTCAGTTCAGCCCCTAATTTCCTTCTCTCATTAAATATTCATTTCAGCTCTATTCAATCCAGTTCAATTCAATTTAGCTCCAATCAGTTCAGTAAATGTAAACAGGTCTTTAATTGATTCAGTTTTGAGGAATTGTGAACAGCTCTAATAATGCTAGTTTTGAGGAATTGCTTAATTCGTCTTGGAGTAATTCGGTTCCTCTAATTCCAGGATTAAAGAAGCTTGCTGAAGACCTGGTGAAATGGAATAGAGAATCCTTCCATAATATTTTCCGCAAAAAATCAGAGTTGTGGGCTAGGATAGAAGGAATCCAGAAAATTTTGGCTACAGGAAGAGATCGACACCTATTAAAGCTTGAAAGTCGATTGAGAAAGGAGTTAGAGGAAGTTCTAGATCAAGAGGAGCTTTTGTGGTTCCAGAAATCCAGGATGGATGCCATTAAGGATGGAGATAGAAATACGAGATATTTCCACTTGGTAACAGTTATTAGAAGGCAGAGGAATAAGGTTTCGACTTTGCAAGATCCTAATGGGTAGTGGATAAGTGATCCGAGTGAAGTGAAAGACTTGGTAGTGAATTACTGGAGTAGTTTATTCTAAGAGGAACAGAATCAGTTTACAGGGGATCGACTGCTTGTAGATTATTTTCCTGAAATTGAGGCTGTTGATAGAGATTGCCTTACCAGGCCTTTTGCTGCGTGTGAGATTAAAAAGGCCTTGATGAGTATGAAGGCCTTTAAGGCTCCCTGACCAGATGGTTTCCAGCCGCTTTTCTTCCAGAATTATTGGAGTTTAGTTGCCCTGAGTGTGATTCGATTAGTAAGGGATGTGCTTGAAGGAAATAATTTCCCTGAGGGTTTGAATGACGCGTTTCTGGTCCTAATCCCGAAAACTGATATTCCACAAACTCCGAAACAATTTCGTCCGATTGGCCTTTGTAATATAATTTACAAAATTGTTACCAAGGTTATTGTCAATAGATGGAAGTCGATTTTACCAAAGGTAATTTCTCCCACCCAATGCAGCTTTGTTCCGAAGCGTTAAATT